ATGTGTGAGCGGCAGCTTCAACTTGGTTTGAATAAGGTTGCCAAATGGGCAGATGATATTGGGTTCATCCTTAACCAGCAGAAAACCACATGTATTTTCTTTACAAGAAAGAGAGGTCTTCAACCCGATCTAATCATTGACTTCCACGGGCAGCGATTAGGTGTGAAAAACAAGCAAAAGTTTTAGGCATAATTCTAGACAAGAAATTAACATTGGCCTCTCACCTGAAAAACCTCGAGAATAAGGGCCTGAAAGCTATGAATATACTCAAAGTTTTGTCATGGACATCATCGCGCAGTGATATAAAATGTCTGATGAATCTTTATAAAAGCCTCATAAGCACGCGCTTAGATTATGGAGTAATCGTCTATCAGTATGCCACACCAAGGTCCCTGAAAATGCTTGACCCGATCCATCAGTTGGGCATCCGTCTTTCTGCGGGTTCATTTCGCACTAGTCCCGTAGGAAGTTGTACGTCGAATCGAACGAGTGGTCGTTGCAGGTGCAGAGAACTTACATATTTTTTGTGTACTATCTCAAATCAAACGCAGACAATAAGCACCCCTCACACTCCGTTATCAGTGACTCCCAGTTTCACACTGTATGATGACCGTCCTTCGTTTCGACAGCCCTACTCGCTTCGAGTGAGAGACCTCACTGAGGAAACGGCAGCGCCACTTCTCGATCAGTGTCTAATGTCTCCTGCCGCGCTTCTGCCACCGTGGCAATGGCAGCTCACAGAATGTGACATATCCTTCGTGGAAGTTACAAAACACGCACCTGTGCCACATATTTGCACGTACTTCCTGGAGCTTAAACACAAACACAAATGTCCTGACTTCATTACAGATGCCTCAAAGTCTCACACTTCTGTGTTGTACGCAGCAGTCGGCCCATCTTTTTCGTGTGCCGGCTTACTGCCTCCCGATACAACCATCTTCACGGCAGAAGCCTACGTGATACTTGCGGACATGAAACACATCAAACAAATAAAACTACAAAAGGCAGTAATATACACAGATTCATGAAGCGTAGTAAAAGCTGTGAAAACTCTTCAGAAACACAAAAACCCTGTCCTTGTTTCGCATTATTCACTATTATGCACAGTCTATAAGTCTAAACAGCATGTCGTAGTGCGCTGGGTGCCAGGACACCACGAGATCCAAAGGTAACGTGATGGTGGATTAGCTTGCCGCATCTGTGCACGAAAGCACTGCCAATACATCCGCATGTATGCCTGCTCTTGGCCTAAAATTGTATCGCAAATAAAAGCTCAGGGCTTATTGGCAGAGCACATGGGACAGTCACACAGAAAATAAACTAGACGTCATCAAGCCGTTCCTTGGTAATTGGCCACCAGTATGAAAACTACGCCACACAGAAGTTACACTTACAAGGCTAAGAACAGGATACACACACAGCACGCGTTCATATATTTTTGTGCGGTGGGAATCTACCTTTGTGCGATAGATGTGGTGAATCACTCTGTCAACCCCGTTCTCATTCAATGCAGTGAATATAACTCTATTAGAAAAAAAAGCATTTTCTCTTAGCTTATCCTGAGCCCATTCCACTGCATCCTGGGATATTGATTGGCAAAGAACCACTTTTTAAGTATTAATTGTTGTTTGCGTTTTTAGTTAAAATTCAAAACTTCATCCCCTCAGGCAATAGTGACTTTCATCAACAAGTTAAAAAATGATGTTTCTCCAGGTCACGACGATGTAAGATCAGTTCGCATTTAGTACGTTGCGCCTTTCATGTTTGACGTATTGGCTTATTTTGCTAACCTAATGTTTACCGCAGGTGTGTTTACTAATGACCTAAAAATGCCAAGGTCTGTCCAATATACAAAGGTGGTAACAGAATGAACATGTCAAACTACGAACCAATTTCTGTGTTGCCAGTATTTTCGAAACTATTTGAAGGAGCCATAAAATGCAGGCTTGAATGTTTTTTAACTAAGCACAGCATAAAATTTGTTTGCCCATACGGTTTTCTGAAAAAAAAAGTCCACAGAGCAAGCGCTGCTTGCTATTAAAGATAAAATAATTGAAAATATAGAACACAAGCTTTACACCTTTGGTCTGTTTTTACATTTTCGAAAGGCATTTGAGTGCGTACAACACGAAATCCTCCTACAAAAGTTATATTACTACGGTGTGCGTGGTATTACACTCAACTTAGTGCAAGATTGTTTATGTCATAGAATGCAGTACGTACGAGTGAACGACATTACATCTAGCCAACTAACTGTCACTTGCTGAGTACCTCAAGGCTCAATACTAGAACCACTGTTGTTTTTAATATATATCAATAATATAACCAAACTACCAGGTTCTCATATGATGATCATGTATGCTGATGATACAAATATATTTTTGACGGCGAAATCTCTTGTACAAGCAGAGGCTATGGTAAACGGGTACTTAGGTAACCTGAAATCATGGCTAAAATCCAACAAATTTTCTTTAAATTTAGCGAAACCCAGCTATATTATTTCTAGACCGATTAATACTGCAGATTTCTTCAAGGTCAACATCCAGTTTGGACACGTAAAATACATGAGGTTGAGTCTATAAAATATCTCGGTGTCTGGTTCCACCAGAACCTTTCCTGGAACACGCATATATGTCTCAAAATTGGCGTCTGAAATAACCAAAAGTGTTGGCTGTCTCCACAAGGTCACTAGTCTTATATCAGTATGGTTAAGGCTACCGATGTAATATGCGCTTGTATATTCTAAAATAACCTATTGTTTCCTGGTCTGGGGAACAACTACGACTACTAACTATCAGAAACTACAAGTACTTCAAAAGAGAGCTTTGCGGTGCATTCACGGTTATTGTGGCAGTCCCCAGGATCTTCCCACTTCGCCGTTGTTTCGTCAGTATGCTTTGCTTACAGTGAATCACGTGTATTTTTTTCGTCTGTTGCAGCATATTAAAGTCAATCATTTACATACTCAAAGCAATACTTTGACTAATGATACATACCATTTTCGAAAACAAAACGTGCGGTTCCCTAAGACGCGTACTAACTATAGCAAACAAAAATTACCTTATCAGGTGACTGTGGCTATGAATAAAATGTCTGAAAATGTTAGTTTTGATCTTTTAATGAAAATACTTAAAAAGGAAACAAAGAAATATTTACTCGACTCTGGTCTCTGTTAGGCCTAACATTTTCACTGCTATATGCTTAAACACAGTTTATTTTGTTGTACTTGCAAGTGTAGCTGAGTTATCTATTTATTATGTCATGTATGTAGTTGTATTATTTTGTGAACTGTCGCGAGACTGTACACTCGAGCCGACGCCTTTGTCAGGCACCCCAGCCTTTATCCCCGGCTTGCTCTTTTGTATGAAAGAAAAATAAACTTCACTTTATATTTTGATACAATTTATCCTTAACATCAACGAATGCACCATAAAGGCGACGAAGATGACGATTAAACAAAAGCTCGTGTTGTTTTTGCCACTCCGCAATCTTGGTTCAAGGGCACTGTGTACTCCGTGTACAATCTGTAAATATATTTCTACCCTCTGCCTACTCTCACCCCGTGACATTTTGGTGGTGGTGCGGGGTAACAAGACGGAGCTACGCAGCGGCCGACGCTTCGTTTCTTCCACAATGGCACAAGAGGGTCTGGCTCCAGCTTCCACAGCGGCCACCACAACAACGACAGTTGTTCTGCCCCAGCTGAAAGACCCTGGCACGTTCTGCGGGACCGACAATGTCGACACTGAATAATGGTTGGCGCTGTACGAGCGAACAAGCAGGAATTACCGCTGGGACGAAACGCTCGTGCTGGCGAACATCCTATTTTACCTGAAGGAGACAGCCAAAGTGTGGTTTGAGAACCACGAAGCGGAAATTGGCAGCTGAGATGCGTGCAAAGAAAAGATGCGTGCACTGTTCGGCAAATCGACTGGTAGGAAGACAGCGGCCAAGAAGGAGCTGGCATCTCGCGCTCAAACGTAATCGAAGTCGTACCTGTCTTACATACAGGACGTGCTCGCCCTTTGCCACAAAGCAGACGACGGCATGAATGAGTACGAGATGGTAGCGCACATATTAAAAGGCATTTCTGATGACGCGTTCAATTTGCTGATTTGCAAAGACTGTGTCACTGTAGATGCCATTATGCGAGAGTGCCAGCGTTTTGAGGCCGCCAAGAGCCGACGTATTTCCCTTCAGTCGCTCAACTTCCCAACACTGCAGCAACATGGTCGTGCGAAGACATGCCTGTACCACAGGCACCGCTGACTGCAGAGCACGTCACGAAGGTCAACCGTCGAGAATTTGAAGCTATGTCTCTCGCTTCAACTTTCTCTCGTGCCTATGAGCCCAGCTCCCAAATGGTGCCTTTAGTGCATGCCATCGTTCGCCAAGAGCTTTCGAACGTTGGCCTGGAATCTGTGTGCACCGCCGCCCCCTCCCGACCGACTGACCGTCGTCCGCCAGTTTCCTACGCCCAAGGCCAGAGGCTCCCAGCACGCTCTCGCGATTCCGCTGAGTGGAGGACTGCTGATGACCAGCCCATTTGCTTTAACTGCCATCGTGTTTGTCACGTGGCCCGCTATTGCAATAGCAGGTGGTATTGGCTACAGGTGGTATTGCCAACCTTCCTATGGCTACAGCCGTCACACAGAGGCAGATGATGACCACTTCGGAACTCGCCACGAGTCGTCTCAGCCAGCCGGTGGTGACGGTTCGTCGACGGTGCGTTGTCGGTCACCATCCCCTCCCGGCCAACAGTCCCGCTCAGCGCTGTCTCATCGCCCATCGTCGCGCTCACCCCAATTTCGCCGTCCTCCTTCGCCGACTGCACATCTGGCTCGGGAAAACTAGACGATGCAGCTCCCAGAGGTGATGCTGCATCAACGATTCGCCAGCCAAATCCTCTGACTATGCCGACACGACGCAACCTCATAGACGTTAAAGTAGACGATGTACTTGTTGTTGCCCTTGTAGACACAGGTTCCCACATTTTGGTGATGAACTCGGAGCTTCGCCTCTGCTTTAAAAAGGTTTTGACACCGCCCCCAGTGCTGCTCATCCAAGTCGCCGACAGTGGAGCCTTTTCTGTGCTTGGGATGTGCTCTGCACGTGTTAGCGTTGCTGACCGCTCCACAACTGTGCTTTTTGCCGTGCTCGAGAAGTGCTCTCATGAACTCATCCTGGGCATGGACTTTCTTGCCGGGCACTCTGCCTTAATTGACTGTGGAATAGGCCTGCTTCAGCTTGACCTACCTTATTGCTATGACACTCCAACTACACCTCAACCACGTTTGTGTTCTGCCGAGTACGTTCGCCTAGCGCCCCAAGCCTTTACCTATGTTACCCGACGGCGATTATGTGCTGGCACCGATTTTGGGCGTGTTAGACAGAAATGTTGCCCTTCCTCATATTCTGTTGACGATTACGAATAATGTGGAGTCGCTACCGATACTGAACTTCAGCTGGTGCACTCAAGTTGTTCCAGATGGCATGACTCTAGCCAACGTCGCTTCTATCAGTGAACATTATGTTTCTGCATTCATTGCAGACACTCCTTTGCTCGCTACTGCGTCTCCTTCACAGAGCTTCACTGATGCCGACTTTACCAAGATGATCGCGCCAGACCTCTTTCCAGCACAGGCAGCCGATCTCCGGCATATCTTGGCATCCTTCAGGAAAATCTTCGACTTTGGCGACAGCCCTTTAGGTCAGACGTCCGTTGTTACTCACAGGATCAACACTGGAGACGCCAGCCCAATCTGATGACGTCCTTATTGCGTTTCACATGCAGAGCGACAAGTCATCCAACGTGAAGTTGATAAAACGCTCACAAAAGACGTCATTGAACCATCTTACAGTCCATGGGCCTCATCAGTCATTCTAGTAAGAAAGAAGGATAGCAGCTGGCGCTTCTGCGTTGACTACCATCACTTAAACAAGGTCACGCGCAAGGACGTCTACCCACTGCCACGGATTGACGATGCCCTCGACTGCCTGCACGGCTCTACCTACTTCTCCTCTATCGACCTGCGTTAAGGATACTGGCAGATTTCCGTCGACTAATTAGACCGCAAAAAGAAAAAAAACTGCATTCGTTACACCGTATAGACTTTTCCAGTTTAGGGTAATGCCCTCTGGCTTATTCAATGCTCCCGCTACATTTGTGAGAATGATGGACTCCCTCCTACGGGGTTACAAATGGTCAACGTGCCTCTGTTATCTCGATGACGTCATTGTATTCTCGCCGTCATTCGAAAGTCACCTTAGTCTTCTGTCAGCTGTTCTGGGAGTTTTCAGAAGGGCAGGCCTACAACTCAACTCCTCCAAATGCCATTTCGGCCGCCAAACAATCACTGTGCTAGGCCATCTTGTCAGTGCTAAAAGCGTGCAACCCGATCCCGACAAAATTCGCGTCTTCAAAGATTTCCACACACCATGTTCCACGAAAGATGTACGGAGCTTTGTCGGCCTCTGTTCCCATTTCCGGCGTTTTGGCCACAACAACTGCTGCGTTCTTGGTCTCCGTGATGACTCATTGTCTTGCGGCGACATATAGGCTAATCCAGGGCCTTCAAAAAGACAGAGATATACTGTTAGAACTAGTAGAGAGACAGAGTAAAATGACTGCAACAATTGAAGCCGTACTCACCGCGCAAAATAAAATCGAAGATAAGCTCTCAGCCTTAACGGGACGCCTGGATAGATTCAAAAAACAGTTGACTGACCTAAATGCTGTAACTAATCAAGTGAAGGTTCAGGAAACCTCAGTGTCGAAGTTTGATGAACAGATTTCAGAGCTGATGCTTAAGGTTGATGATTTGGAAAATAGGGGACGTCGGAAGAACCTCATCATTTATGGTTTAATGGAGCCTAACTAAGACACGTACGAGGAACTGGAGGTGACAGTCAAAAATAACATTTTCAGTGAAATATTGGGTATAGCCGTGAACGGTATTGAGAGGTGTCACAGGCTTGGACGAAAAACGTCTGAGAAACCTCGACCCGTTATCGTAAAGTTCGTCGACTACCGTGAAAAAATGGCGGTACTGAAAGCTTATCCTCAACTAAAGGACACCAATTTTTCACTCTCTGATGACTTTTCGAAAAGAATTCGGGAAATTCGCAAACAGTTACGGAGGAGTGCAGCTCAAGAAAGAGAACAAGACGCTAAGGTCAAATTACTCTTCGACAAGTTAAGCGTAGACGGTGCGCTTTTTGGTTGGAACGAGGAAAAGGCGACACTGTTTAGGCTGAATAAAAAAACAGCATGACAACATAGCACTAAAAATCAGTCATTAAAATATTAAACATCAACTGCAGAAGTGTAATCAATAAAGCTAGTGAACTCGAAAGTATATTACTAGTACACAATGCCGACATCGCAGTTCTTACAGAGACTTGGCAACATGAATCAATATACGACAGTGAATTCGTTCCTGCCGGATATACTATAATTCGAAAAGACCGAGGCAGCAAAGGAGGAAGTGTTTGCATTCTTAAAAAAAAAAACGTTTGTGTATAGTGAGAATGTCTGACTTGACTGACGTTGAGTGCATATTCTGCAAAGCGCATCACGGTAAGGTTAAATATGCAATAGCAGTCGTGTATAGACCCCCTAAGTCGTCTATTGACATGTTGGAATCGTTAAATGAGTATGTACATTCGAATATGAAACCTGCTGACAAAGTTATTCTGGCTGGAGATTTCAACTTGCCGAATATAGACTGGCCGAATTTCTCGCTCAATAATTACAATGATCATTTGGGAGAAGCAATGCTAAACATTGCGTTCACTTTTGACCTATTTCAAATTGTAACAGACTTCACTAGAATTCAAGAAAATTGCAATACAGTACTAGATATCTTTCTAGCAAGTGAATCCATCAGTGCCAAAAGTTACTGCGAAGTAGTTCCGGGAATTTCAGACCACAAGGCCGTGTTGCTTACCCTAGCTAATACTTATATAAACAATAATCGTACAATTTTGTCATTTCCGAATTTCTCTCTCGCTGATGACGTGTCAATAATTGACCTGCTTTCCTTTAATTTTGATGATTTATGCAATAGCACTGGTGATGTGCACCACCTTTGGGACAGATTTGAACAGATTGTGAATGAATGTATCGAGTGTTTTGTACCCAAGATTACAAAAAAATGTAAGGGTGAGAACCCATGCATTTCGAGGGAGACATTGCAATCTAAAAGGCGACTGAAGCGCTTAAAGAAAAAGTTAACAAACAACAGAGCATTATTTTTAATGCAAGAAATATCGAAACTTTCTTGACAAATTAAAGACCAAGTAGCTGCTGATAAAAAGCGATATTACGGTGAATCATTACCAAGCTTTATAACCACGTCTCCCGAGAAATTTTGGCGTTCAATTTCTCCACACTCCACTGAATGTGATACATTTGAAGTTGATGGCTGCCTAACTCACGATAATGCAAAAATTTTCCATGCCTTTAACAACCATTTTAAATTGGTGTTCACCCAAGATAATGGTACATCACTTGTGTTTCATGCATCCCTACCACCGATGTTTGATGTCATTGTTTCTGAAAGTGGTATAATTAATTTTCTGCTAAGACTCGATGCCAAAAAATCACCAGCGCCTGATGACATTCCTGATAGCTTCTTGAAAAGGGACGCTGAGTGGGTGTCTAAATATCTTAATTTCATTTTTTGCAAGTCTTTATAAAATGGAGAAATACCAAGAGACTGGAGAACCGCTAGAAATAAACCAGTTCACAAGACCGGAAATAAGAAGTCCGTTAAAAACTATCGTCCAATTTCATTAACATGTACGGTATGCAAGATTCTGGAACATATCATTTACAATCACATCTCCGAATTTCTAAACAACTATAACGTTATTACCAAATTCCAGCATGGTTTTAGGAAAGGTTATTCGACAAACACTCAGTTAGTTGAAACAATACATGACTTTGCCAAATCAATAAATAGTAGAACACAGACTGACGTTATTTTTATGGACTTTTTGAAAGCCTTTGATAAAGTATCCCACACTAAACTGATATATAAGATAGCTAAAATAATCAATAATTCCCAAGTACTTAACTGGATTTCGGCATACCTCAAAAACCGCGAACAATTTGTTGTCTTTGCTGATTCCTGCTCACATAGACAGCTTGTTGACTCTGGCATTCCGCAGGGCTCAGTGCTAGGACCACTTCTTTTTCTCGTGTTTAATAATGATAGTGTGCATGGCATCCCTGTTAAAATCAAACTCTAAGCTGATGACTGTGTACTTTATAACGAAATATGCTGTCCCGCAGACCAACACGTGTTAAATGATGCTCTACAAAAAGTGTCCTCCTTGTGTGATGAATGGGAAATGGCTATTAACTTCGCAAAAAAAGTGTTTATGCAAATAACAAATAAAAATCCTTTAGAATACGAGTACTCTACTACCCATACTAAACTGCGTCTCTCATAATCATGATGATGATGGTAGATTTTAGTGGCGCAAGGGCAACTCAGGCCAAAGAGCGCCATATGGTGGTTTTGGGACGTTAAACCCCACAAATCAATCATTACCCATACTAAACTTTCCCAAGTCCCACATTACAAGTATCTTGGCTTATGGATCACAGATGACCTGAATTGGACGAAACACATCACTACAGTAACTAACACTGCAATGCGTAAACTGTTCTTCCTCAGAAGAGCATTGAAACTCTCAACCCCCTCCGTCCGCCTTCTGGCTAATTAAACAATAATTATACCTACTCTGTATTATGCTTCCATTATATGGGACCCTTTTACCAAAACTAATATCAACAAGTTAGAAAGAGTACAAAAAAGGCCATTCGTTTTATTTATAACAGCTTCGGGCGCACTTCAATTACGGAACTTTCAACTCGAGCTAATCTACCAACACTAACAGAAAGAAACCGCTTATATAGACTAAAATTTCTATATCAACTAGTAAAGGGACATTAAAAGACAGACATTTCTGAAGTTCTTTCATTTTCGTCCGGATATGCAACTTGACAAAGGCATGAGCGCACAATAACACCCTATGCAACCCGTAACAACTGCTTTAAATATTCATTCTTTCCACGAATTATAAATGACTGGAACAAACTAACCAACATCGAAGTTTTACAGCCATCCTTAACATTGTTTTCTTCTAGCCTTAATAACAGTGTTTAAAATAGCATGCCAATTAAGCTCTGTCCCCATAAACGTTAGAATTTTCGAATTTTCGTATATTTTGAGTTGCTTTGTGCGTACTTTTGTTTCTCCGTGTTTTTATCTTCCTGATTTGAAAATTTGTTCGTCTGCATATTGAGCATTCATGTAATTCATGTAACCCACTCTGCGAAAATGCCTAGTAGGGATTGCAGTATTCATAAATAAAAATAAACAAATAAACTTCGCCGACATTGCCCATCCTTTGACACAGCTACTGAAGAAGGACACGTCGTTTTTTGGGGTCCCCAGCAAGCCAATCCGTTTCACCGACTTACTGCGTTGCTCACTTCCCCGCCCATCTTAGGTCCTTTCGATCATTCAGTGCCCACTGAAGTTCGCACAGACGCCAGCAGATATGGTATTGGCCCTGTACTCGCCCAGTGGCAACATTGTCAAAATCGTGTAATCGCCTACGCTAGTCGCCTCCTCTCCCCATCCGAGTGCAAGTTTTCATTCACTGAGCGCAAGTGCCTCGCTCTTGTATGGGCAGTTGGAAAATTCCGACCATACTTGTTCGGCCGCCACTTTTCGGTCAGCACGGATCAC